TGTTTACATAAGATCTTGCTTGCTGCTGGTGGAGTTTTGTATCATAATCTCATCTATAGCTACAAATTGTTCGCCGATCTCGTGCTAAAAATCACTTATTACACACAGAACTCTCTAGGCGATCTTGTCCCTGCTCGTTCGGCACCTTACTTGTTACACCTTGTCTTTTTTACTATCATCTAGTTCGCCATCATTACGCATGTAATCTGAGTCATCACCGACGTCGATCTCACTCGTGCTTTCTTTTAGATATGACAAGTAAGAATAACAATAACGAGATGTAATTCTTGTCTGAATACTTCAAAGATAAATGTTACGGCAGTCATGTCGGCAATAGTGACTTGTCAATGGCTGTTGATTGCGAGCAATCCACAAAAAAATTAGATACTGGAAATTTTATTTATATCACGATAACGTTTTTTGAAAACCTCAATATTTCTGCACAAATACATCGATGTGAAAAAAAAATGAAATAAAGAAATCGATATCATAACTTCGACGTGTCTGCTCGACGTTGTTTTATAAACAACGATTGTTTTGCCATCCCTATCCAGCGGGGGAAAAGTGCCCGCTGCCGTAGAACTCTGCTCACAGGGCGTCGGTCTGCACCACCCCTTCCACAATTCACCCTGCCACTGCAGTTTCAATCTAAAACCAAGTAAGACTGTCTACGATTGAGAAGTTGCATTCTTATTCATGGGTATCAGTCCATAATTGCGGTGAAGGAAGTCTGCAGTCGGTCCAGGGACCGCAATGTGACGCCTAAGAAGCTACGCGGACCGGAAGCAGGAAACCGAGCAAAATAATCTACCACAATTTGGAAAAACTATTTCATCTTATTTCAAGGTATTCTTTCCTGTGTTGACTGCGCACAAAACTATATAGAGGAAAAAAGCTATTCACGCTGAATTTGGTAACTAGATAAGCGAGACACAAAAATCTACGGTTTGTACTTTATTTAAATTGCCTAGTATACATTTCATGATGTGACTGTCGTTTAAATCGACATTCATGATTTATCAGATGGTTGTTAAATGTTAACACTTGCATGGATGAGGCGAATAAACTTAACGATATTAAGCGAAATTCGTCACTTTAATTACAATTCTAATAGACTCAATTTTCGTTGGCCTAAGATTAAATGGTCTCCAGGATACAGCTATTAGTGAATGCCTAACACATTAGCATTTTTAACTAACATGCAACCTAGCGGATTTGCATCCTGCTCTCAGCTCCTCGTTACTACGACATCTTAAGTCAAAAAGTCAATCATTATCATGCGACATCCTATGACAATACGATTCGGAGAATTATCAAATACGGCCGTCAAGTCGATTATTGTAATCTTACGACACGTACTGTTTACTACGCTACGTTAATCTGTAATGTATCTTGTAATCTTAAGATACGACCAAAAGAATATTGCAATCTTACGATATGAATTTCGCAAACAACGTGTCTGTAAAAAGATACCCGAGATGTAACTGTCTTTACAATTTTACTTGGCGAATAATCAAAGCACGTGCTTTGTACACACATGTAACAAGCTTATTAGATCATTTATTCCATTTCATAAAGTTGGTGTGAACACCATTACCGCAGGACGCACCTTTCCTTCAAGGTGACGTCTTGTTAGAAGAGGCATGTCCAATTGTTAGTTCATTAGCGAACGTTGTTCAATTAATTTGATTATCAAGTAATGAATACCATCTTCGCTTAATTACTTTTTCACAATCGTTACCGACCTTGGTCGGGGGGCCGTGAATCGACGCCTGTCGCGCACACTATATTCTGTTCTCGGGCGGCAACGCACCTGCTGCACATTACACTGCGTCACGACCTGAGACAATTCGGGCGCAGGTCCCTCTGCACGCAATCTCACGTGGCGCACACAGCCACTCCGCGTGGAACTAGAGATCGCTTCGCTTCGCCGTGGAACAGCTATCGTTACATTCTACTCAAGGTCATCATAGTTTGAAATAATAATAAAAACGCGACATTTTAGTTTTTGGCACAGCGATAAAATGGGCAAAAGAGGACTTTAAGCACCATTAATAACAAATATATACGTTTGGAAATTACGATTAAATCGGTGAATAAATACATTAATACGTATTACTTTCATGATGTAGCATTCAATTCACGCACCCTTAGAAGAGAACATTGGGAAAGAAATGACCACTCGTGTACAAAGAAAGAAAAGTTGCGCTTACTCCGGGGTTACATACGGTTTACAGCCGTTGAGCCCTCTTCTTTGAACCTCTCGTACACGCCCTCGGCTCCGGACATCCACTCTTGCCGGGAGTCGTTCAGTAGCGTAAAGATAAATGGGCCAGTTCCGTGTTCCATGGAGCTTGCATCGATCCTCCCTCCGAACCGAAAGTCGATGCGGTGGCGACTCTTGAAACCGGATGAACAGGGGCGGATTTACGCTTCGGCACAGGAGACACGTGCCTACGGCGACAACATTTTAGGGGCGGGCGGCAAAATTTGTGACATACATTTCTGTCTATACATTTCTAAAATTGATAATACGTATAAATTATTCATATTAAAAATTGTAGAAAGTATACACATTTAAATACATGAAATATTGTTAATCAGTTTTAAGATTTCTTATTTCGTACATAATTTCTAGTATTAAACGTAGAAATTTACGTGATTTAAGAATTAACGGTAGAACAGCTGTAGAATAATAAATACGGATGCGTAACAAAAAAGTAACATAAAAACGAATTTGTGTTACTTCTATAGATCTAAATAAATATAAAATAATTCATTTCCAAAAGAAAAAAAATGAACCCTCATATCAAGCAAGTATTAATAATACTTCTAGTTCTTACTGAGAGAGCTAATCTTGAATTAATAATTATGCAAATAAACCCCGTCAGTCTGCGCAAACCACGGTGTATACAGAAAGCGTACACAGTATAAAATAAAGGAATAAAAGCCTTCTAAACGTTACGCCACAATCATTGCCAGAAATGTAGATGGTATTGATAATATCAATAAGTGCTGAACCAAAAAAAATTCATAGTATACCCAAGAATACTTATCCTGAATATTATGGTGTGAAAAACGTTTTTGAGGTCTATGGCCTCAAATGTTTAGTTTTTAAAGCCCTAGAAACTTTTGTTTGGGAGTTATTTAACGAGAAGCTGACAGTGCTGCGGGTTACATTTGTCGTGGATATTTAGATGCGTTTTTTAAAACAAATCCTCCATATTTTGAAAGTGAAAGTGCAATTCATCACGTATCCATGAAATTTTATTTCTTTAGAGACCTCATTTTTAAAGATCGGTTGCGTGTAAGAAGCGCAAAACGTATGTACACTACTGAAATAATATAGGAGACTATTTTCTCTGTATTACATGTATGGAAAAGTAAAAATGTGTACCTTTTTCAATTATTCATATAAAATTCAAATTTGAAAATCAAATACTCCGTAAACCTCAGGTTCTCTTACAGAGTCTTCGCCAGTTTTCTGACCTTACATTAGTTTACAATTTTAACTTCACTGTGAAGCCAAAAAAAACAAAACTAAACCGTGTAAATCAAGGAAAAAGTAAATAAAATATGGACCTCTAACGTTAGAGAGAGCTTTCACCCGATAGACAGTGATGCACTTTCGCTGCCGCAGTGACTGGACAAACTCCGGAGGCCTTGCGCTGTGCCCAACCCACCCCGCCCTTCCGGCTTTGGAGCCAGGTCGCGCCAGAACTGTGCTTCGTGATTTGACGACCGCATTTTGGTTGCCGATGAGGAAACTGCATTAATTTCGCGGTAACAGACGGCGATCTGCGTTGAAGGAACCTGGCTTGACATTTCTGGAAACATTACATTATTTTGCGGCCATGGAGTGCTGTAAAGTTGGTAGTTTTAAAAGGAACATTCAATTTTTAAACGATATAAATTGTGCCATTTTTGTTGAAGCAATTGAATATTTGACTCTTGCATGATTTACTCGACCTTCACACGTTTTCACCAAACAGCTCGTTCAGGACAGCTGCCAAGAAAAAGACGAAAATAATACAGCAGTTGTCGGTTTAGCCTTTATATCTTACTAAACCTCTGCGCAGACGTGAACGAGAATGCATTTCGACAACATCTAATTTGCTTCTTTGACAAGCCTGTATTTCAAATCCGTTGGTTCACGATACTATCTGCAAGGAATTTTGGAGGAGGGAGACTTTCGGCGGTTCTCCCCTTCTGAGGCTTCTCAGTCATCTGTTCTAAATCTCTGCCGCATCTTTCATTTGCTGGGAAGCCCCCCACAACATTCGAACATTCATTTTCTTCGGAAACGTTTCCAGGTCATAATATATAGCTTATCATAAAAATAGAAGACGAGGAATTAAAAAAAACATTCTAAATTGCATTAGCAACGGAAAGTATTGTAAACGAAACTCGCTAGCAAGAAATGAAGTAGTGATCCCATAATTGTGGACTTCTTAGCCCTCTGTGATTCCGAATGCAAGTTATTTACGCCATTATTTTTGTGGTTTTAATTTCTTAAAAAAAAGAAATATCTATTACCTGTTAGATGCAGGGCATTATGCCCATATGTTACAAACTCAGTTTTTTAACAACCTTCTTCCAATTTCATTTCTCTCTTTAGAAGAACTGCAAACCATGTTCAAAATACATTATCAATTAAGTCAGAAGCAGTCTAAGGAGCACGATGCCCACTTAGACAAAAATGTGTTAACTACGCTCCGCGAAAAATTACGTTAATGTGATGGGCCTCACACTTCCGTGGTATAAAATGATTGATTTCCAACAGACGAAAGTTTTACCAATACTAGAAAATTGCAGTATCAATTGCGCATGTACGGATTGTGTGCGCGTGCGCTAGAATGTGTATACGTGCGTGCGTGTGCACGTAACAGTGTGCATGTGAGAGGAGGAGATGGTACAGCATCCGTGGCTGCCCGCACGTGCGGGGCAGAGGGCGCGGCGCAGCAGGTTGAACGCTCCGTGGGAAGGAGGCCCAGCAGCTGATGGGGCCCAGGAATAGCTCCGCGCCACGCAGTGCCACACCACGTCGCCGCTGTCGCTGCCGCCGCCGCCGCGAATTGTTACGTAAAGAGCGGCCGCCACGTGACATTTGCGCTCGCCCGCGCCAAGGTCCCGCTCTGGCACCGGCGCCGCCGACGCCGCCGGGCGGAAGAACGCACTGCCCCGCCCTTCCCCACCCGGCGACGGCCCCGCCCCCCTCGGGCGTCCCGACGCAAGGAGGCGACCGCGAACGCGACGCGCAGACTTCTCGCCGGGAGGAACCACACAAGGTGCGCGGCTACCCTTTACGACGATAATTTACTCCCCCCCCCACACACACACAGAGTACTAAGAGCACGATTATTTAGGGCCCTCGGCGTGGCAATCCTGTTCTCAGCGTAAATTCAAAATTGTTCACTTTAATTGATAAAATGAATGGGTGAAAAACAGAATGATAAAAGTGACATTTTATAAATTCAGAGAAATCTGTTTATTTAAGTCAAAATTACAATCCAGTCGTGGCGCTTTGTTTCATCTTTAAATCCACAAGATTTCAATTGTTCATTAAAACCACTGAAATTAGCCTAAAATAAACACCAAAGTTTTTCCCAAAATTTATCAAATGTCACTTATCTGTTCTGGTTTTCACACATTCAAATTCTCTCACTGGATTTAATGACAGTTATTTCCTTAAAATCATTTAATTTGCACGGATATAATCTTTGCTCTACTACGCACAAAGTTTCGACGATATTTTTCCTTTTTCAAATAATGCAAGCTTTTTTAAAAATAATTATCAAAATCGGTTGAACACAATACGTCACACATTATAGGTATAATGTGTATAAAATAGTTAGAGCTTACCTAGAGCAATTGTTATAAACATTTAATCATAAGAAATATCAGCGTCCTCAATCTAATAATTAAAAGGTTTTATACATTAAAACTTACAACGAAAAAGGAGGTTATTAGGCAAGTACGCAATATAGAAATAAGAGACCCACCTGCTATTTCAATAAAAAGGTATTGCTGAAAGCGGTCATTGTGGCAACGGTTAACTTCAAAAAGGAAATATAATCAGTGGAATGCGATGCCGTGTAGCTGGTAAGCAACTGAAGGGTATTGAAAGGAGGTTGGAGGTGGGGAAATGAGGGGAAGGGAGGGCAGGAAACGAGCGTTAGAGGGAAAAGGGGGGGGGAAGGGGAATTGGTGAAAGTGTAGGTGATTGGATTCAGGAAAATCTTATGTACATTTTTGAATTAATAATGGTTTAATTTTGATAGCAAAACATCGTTACGTGTGAATATATTGCATTCTAGAACAGAATTTAAAAGATTATGACTTAATATTTAGTCTCTGAAGTCATTATCTCAAAATAATTTGGTTCTACATCAAGTATTTTGGGGTTGTCGAGTCCACAGTATATTGTGAATTAACTCTCCGTTGAGTGAGTGAATTGTGTTTGGTAGATTCTTTAAAGTTCGTTTAAGATTCGTTTAAATATTGATAAGAATTATTAGCTCCCGAGTAATAGAAACTATTTGCGAAAAAATCTGTAGATCCTGGCTATTACCCCGCATTGTGACATTCGTGAAGGACTCGACTTATTGACGCGAGAACATGCCGAACGTTAATAAATTGGGATAAGTCTATTACTCGCTGAATTATAGAAACCGTGCACAGATAGTGAAGTCACATTCATGGTTGAAAAATTGCTCTGAAAGTTGGGACAGAACTTAAAATTACAAACAGCAAGGACGCACGCCGAAAATGAGAGATGCGTGGGTTGTACATTTGCACCCGATTCATATTAGTTTTTGATAATTTAATTAGCAATATTAATTGTCATTTTCTGCAATTTACTAACATTATTGTGGTTTAGCCATTCTGCACCCAATGATCAGCACAACGAAAACATCACTTGGATGCATTGTGAAAATCTCAGAATGGTGCTCAGCTGCCTAGGGCACCCCATTGCAGATTTCTTTTTTTTTTTTGTGTCCTGCATAACGCCAGTCACGAGGGATTAATTTCATTGAGAAAGAATTCTCTGCTTTTAATAGTGGAGGTGGAGGTCAGATTTGAAAATGAATTTGAACTAGCTGAATCCTTGTGATTACATCGCACAAAAGGAAGATTTGCAAAAAGTTGCAACAGGAAAGTACAAGGATGGAAAATGGAAAATGAAACTTCCTTCCAGAATATTGCTTAATGGCATTCAGTATTTATTCTCTGATGATGAAGAAATGAGAGAGATTTACAAATTCTGGAACAATACCATCACTATTCATTATCGAAAGAGAGTTACACCTGTTTCTCAAAATGTAATTGTTAATGTTCTGAATTAACCAAGATCTAGACACGTATGAAGTGAACTATGGCAGGAAATCCTGCTATCTGTCTTGATTTAATAACGTAATGGGTCACACATTATTATAATCTCTCTCAATATAAAACATGAAACTTCCAAGCTGTCGACAGACCTATAACAACTCGCATTAACTAACTATACCAATAACAAATGTCAGCAGGTAAGCGTCGATGCTATGAATTTGAAGATATTGTTAAAATTTAGTATTTATATCATGAAGCCAATTAATAATGGCAAGCTATAAAAATTCTCGGGTTCACTACCTTTCATTTCACGTAAAAATTACCAAATTTGATTGAGTAGAACGGTCAAATTTGTTTCTAAACACAAACCCGTAGTATTTTTATTATAAGGATTTATGCAATTTTCAAAATATCATAGGTTTTAATAAAAATCGGAACTAAATCATACTTATAAATGCACTTCTATCAAAGAATCTATTCGAAGAATTGAAAGAAAACTGTGTTTTTCAGAAAACGTTGCAAACTTATTTCTATCCAGTACACCCTAAAATTAAAATATATTGGTGATTTCCGGAATGGTACAACTATATATTACTCCTGGCGTATTTATCGAATTTCAGTTCAAAAACCTCTAATTTGACATTTGTGTCCGACCCGTTCGTCCTCACATCCGCTTGATTGAAAAACATTACATTTTTCAGTATTTTTTTTTAGTTTGGACCCAAAATCCTTTACAGGTTTTTGACATATCCAGGCAATACAGGCTACTGGAATATCGAAGAGAATTTAACTTCTTTCCAACAGCGACTTTCGAGAAAAAATGTAGCCGTTTCTTGAAAAAATGTTTCGAACCTTTTCGAAACTTCTAATTTCTAAATGAGGTCATGTACAATTGCTTCATTTTTAGTTTCCATAATTCAAAAACTTCCGTCCCTCATTCCGTCGGTCCGCCGACAATGTCAGCTGCTAAACTGATCTAGCTGATGTCGCGGGCCCTTGAAATTAACATAGACGTTTTGATTTAGGGGATAATTTTACAGGAAGCTTCAAGATATTTTCTTAAAAATGGCTCCAATTCTTTTATCGGATAGAATGAATTACTATAGAAATAGCGCAGATCCAATTTTCTTTAACTTCTCTGAATTTTTGAAAATTCCAGAAGTTTAAAATTTTATCGGAGTCACACTACAATTTACGATAGAGGTTTTTTAAAAATAAAAACTATATTTCAAACTTTGTTTTTCAAATGAGGTCATAAACAATTGTTTCAAAATGAATTTCCCGTATTTTTGCATGAAATAAAGGTCATTTTAAAAAGATTTTCTAAAACAAAATCACCATATTTTTCTTTCCTTTTCGTTTGTATCGGAGAGCGGAAATAAAATATGCTTATAAAATGGCGCAAGTCAGGTATGCGTTGGACTCTGAATGTTGGTAAACGACGACAAACGACAATGCGCTGTGGTAGAACCACTACTTTTTCTTCAATGACTTTCCCCTCAACGAATCAAATTACGAAGGGCATTCCAAAAATTCCAGGAATTGCCTTTCCATCGCCAAACTAGCTAGACATGGTTCACATTATTTTTATTATTATTATTATTATTATTATTATTATTATTATTATTACACATTTATGTCGTAGGCGGCTGGGCGCAATGCTCAGTGTCACATGGAGGTGAGTGCTGGTTCGTCGGCGTAATGTCGCAGTTCGAGCAGCGTGTGAACATCAAGTTCATGTGCAAACTGTGAAAATCGACAAACTGTGAACATATGAAAATCAGCTTCAGAGACGCTCTCGACCCTTCTACACCGTGCCCTAGACAGTCTGTTATTGAAGCGCGCACGTTTTGCAGTTTGTCTGATGCGGTTGGAAGGACGCGACGGGCCAAGTGACAAGGAAAGTGGTGTCTGCATCACGATAACGCGCCAAGCCACACATCGCTTGTTGTGCAGAAACTCTTCTCTGCCAACATTGCTGCCTTTCCTTAACCGCAATACTCCCCGATCTCGCTCCCTGAGACTATCGGCTTTTCCCTACTGTGAAAACGGGCGTCAAAGCGAGAGGTTTTACAAACGTGGAGAACATGAAATCGAACGCGACGGCTCAGCTCCGACAAGTGCCGAAAGAAGCCTTCTGCCGCTATTTCGACGGAGAGCAAGTGCACGGGTGCGGGTGCGGAAGGGTGATTAGGCTATCACTATTATAGAATATAACATTAACTTGCTTCACCACCATTTCGGGAACTTTTTGAACGCCTCTCATCTGTTCACGTCTTACGATGAAATTAGACGAGCGCGTCAGGAGACGGTATGTTGGGAATTAAGATTGCACGCGTTGTTTCAGAGGACCTTGGACTGGGCAGAAACAAAACTAATTTTTAAATAAAAAATCTCTATACATTTTCTCATAAAAAAGTAAGATCGCATAAGCGCAATCATTATTACCCATTAACCATTCTGAGTGTTATATATAGGAAATATCGGAAGCCCAAAACCCTTGTAAAAAGTGCAGAGAGTCGTCTTGGGCCTTTTTTATATTCTCTTTATCTGCCGTACCTTTCACTTCTGGCAAAAGAGAACGATTCTTGCCATCACTAAAGAATTCAGAAATGTTTTATGAAAATTTATATTATTCTACTTCAGCATTGCCTTCGCCTGCGATGCAGATAACTCAAGCTCCCATCTTATTAATTTCTATGTGTGTAATTAAGACATCTCTCTATTATACAGAGATTCCGAAACATAGCGCAAAGAACGATCGCAGCAGCATCGTAATTTATCTCGAACTAACTTTACACATAGAACAAAAATGTCAACAATCTTGGAAAGAATCTAAACCAACAGCTCGAACTGTCTTCAACGGCAAACCACCAAAATCCCCTGGCCATCAACCTCTTAGTTAATTGCGTAAAATCCCTTAGATTAACCAAAATTAGACCTTTACAACTCAATTACAGATGCTCAAATTAGTCACCTAATCACTCGTAACCCTCAACACCAATTTCCACCAATTAAAACCATTATGTTGTGCTTTTGTAATAGCCCCAAGAAGACTGAAATGTACCAATGGGATTCCTTCACCGACAACTGATATATTTAATGCTTTTTCGTATTTACTGATTATGTTTGTATAAAATAAATTGTAAATTTAGTATGGAATATAAAAGTAAAAAAAAAGAGAATTTGCGCCACAATATAAAACCAGAAATACAGGAAATAAAATGGAATATCATTAATACTGGAGGTTCAAAAATGCATATGATATCCAAGGAATGACCAAGAGCCCCAAAAATATAATATACGAAGAACGTCAACGAAAGGAAGTCCAAATGTTTAATATTTTGTTTTCATGATCTTCAATCTTCGGAGATTTCTTTCATTCATCTAAAGAATATCTTTGAACTCGTGAAAAATGTCCCACTCGGAGAGCTATTCTTCTATCCCACAATTGTAATTCGAAATCACAACGTCAGTAAGATAAAATGATTTTGTTCTCTAGTGTACAAAAATTCTCCCCCTTAAGGCCACTGGCCTCGCTCATTTTTATACATAATAATGTCAACTCGAGAGGCAAGCCAAAACATTGTTGATTCGTCATTCTAGAACAGGGTAGACCAACTTGCAAAGCCTCAAGGGTCAAAATTCAAATCTTAAATATGGTAGCGGGCCGAATTTTCATTACACTGACGATTAACGCCTGACTTCCGCATACTGTTATAATAATAATAATAATAATAATAATAATAATAATAATAATAATAATAATAATAATAATAAGTCATCGAGAACATCTATAAGCTATGCTGGGACCGAAGCGTATTTGCCAACAGAACAGGCCATCACAACAGACCGGATGTGATACTCTGGGATACATCTAAAAGAAAAGTATGGCTGATACACACAGTTGTAGATGGCGGCAACCTCGACAACACACAAAGAGAAAATTGGAAAGTACAGAGAACTAACAAGTTGTAAAGTAACAGTGGCATGTATTGGACGTGGAGATTGTGCCAATCATCCTCTCCGTAACAGGTGTAATACCTACGGTCCTGAAGCACTGTGAATAAAGTGGGGATCGAAACGAACATTATCAGCAATCAATAGCTGTGATCCTGAGCACGTGTTTTTTAGTCAGAAGATTTCTGGGATCCTAAATAAATTCATGTGTTAAAATTATTTACTGACCAATTTATAAATTAGTTCTTAAAAAAAATTTACGTTTGTTAAATGTATTGCATTACGGAAATCTCGCTTTGATAGAAATATCTGTGAGACTACCAGAAAGCAGTGAAATAATAACAATAATAATAAATTATTCCTCTTCTTTCGAATCCGCCATTTTTCATTCTTAGGAGTTAGAATGTTCAGAAAACTCAAGAAATTATTAGTATGCATTCACGACTAGCGCGCAAGTACTTTCCGTAATATATGCACTAGAAAAAGGTTTTGGCCACTTCCTAAAAAAACACTACATTCTGTAACCATTGCAATGAAATGGATTAGAAGGTCAACTACTCAAAAGAGGAAGCCTTGTCGACTTTTGAAACTCGAGATATTTACGAGAATATTGGTGTGTGAAACCGTTATATTTAACGCACTTATGTGTAATTCTGTGTCATGCTATATTCTCTGTAATATGCTATATATTACAGAGAAAACGTAAAGGAGTCCAAACAAACATTTTTTTAAAAGGGGCCGATGAAAGAAAAGGTTAGAAATCTCTGGTATTAATGCGGACTTGCACAAGGATAACAGACTTGTAATGCTGTTTTCACAAGGTGCACGGAATGAACAATGTCCATAGTGGTATACGCAAGAACTATCTAATAAACGTTTGTGCGCTATTCTATTATTATTGTAATACAGAATTGCACAGCGTGAAGCATCTCAGCGAAGTACGTACACCGCTTTCGGGGTTCTGCGCATGCGCATAAGTATGCACTGTGCAAAAAGTCTATGTGGTGTTATAAGTAATTGCAGAGAGGAAGGGTTTTAAAAAAAGTAACATTTTGCGAACGTCTTTTTTGAACGGCCCCAAAAGAAAAACAATAACCTTATAGTCAATCAGCAAAAGCGCATTTCATTTGAGATTAATACAAGGAATATTCGAGAACTAATATCTGGATCCTAAAATTATTTTTTAGGAGTTGTTAATAAAATGAATTCACAGCAAAATTACACTTTGCAAAATGTACCAATATTCTACAAATGCACAAATAGCTAAATTTGAATTATTACCAAAAAATGAAAATAAAATGCTCCAATTTCCCTCTCTTCAAAATTATTATTACCTCAAAATCCCAATGTTTATAAATATTAGAATTAGATACATTTTATATGAGATACTATAGATACACTAACGGCGTGATTTTTGGCGGAACGCGACAGAACAGCTTTCCGGTACCTTGGGAATAATTATTAAGTTATATTATAAAATATATACCAATTTCTATTAAATTAATAATTAATTTTTGGTTCGTTTCGGGACCTAAAATTTTATAAATAAAGCACTGGATTCACTTCCTCTAGTCTTTCATACATTGCCAAATAAAATAAAGTGTATGTAGGAAAACTGAATTGAGAGTTTCACTCACCTCGCGCGGGATTGAGATGTCACACATTCTGTTTTCTTGCTTCACTGACACTCGTAAGCCTACAAGACGCACTGACTCAGATTATATCCACCACGACTTTTTGATGCTTGCGGCAGCTTAGTCTATAAGCTTCTGAACCTTGAGGAAGCGTGATAAACTCTTGCAACACTGTCGAACTTGCCGCACCATCTTTTGAATGACATTTTGAACTACTGCTGTAATCGAAGCCAAGTCGAAGCTTTAATATATTTCCTAGTTTCACTATATCTGAAGTAAGTATATGAAAATAAAAAGAAAATCGTTAACTTGTACCATAATTTATAGCGTAGTTAACAAATGTTCCATATTTTAGATTTGATTTATCTTTCATAGTTTTACATCGATGCTCAACTGTCATTCTCCACTATGGCGGCTCACATATGTGTCACTTTGTCGGGACCAGCTTTATCTTTCTTAATATACGAAAACGTGAAATGTTATTGTGACCAGGTAATGATGTTGGGAAATGCCTTTTAATATGTATTTTTATTATTCTTGTATTGACTTTGCGATGACCTGAAGATATTTTGGAACTTCCACACTTGTTGACATGTTTTGTGGATATCTGAAGCAAATCAAAAATGCAACTTTCAGTGAATCATGATTGAGTGGTTTCTAATTATTAGTAATGATTTGAAGATTTAGTGTTCATTGAACTTCTTGGCAAAATAACGATGTGCTTATTTCTTGGGAAGTGATCAATCTGTCAGCTGATGTGGAATATTTTTTACAGGAGGGGTTCCTAGTTGGAGAAATAATTAGCCATGTGACTGATACAATAAGTGACTCTCAAATTCGTGGAGAGAAAACGGAGACAATAATTAGTAAGTTTAGATTTTCCTCCTGTTTGAAATACAATACACTCTAAAGGAATAAAGTGACCAATTGCTGATTCATTTCAGGTGTAAATTCTCTTATGCCTATTCCCAGTTGTTTGTCTTTTTATAATGGCGTTGGGAAGATAAATGAAGAAAAACTGAAATCATTTTTGAAAGATAAGTCAAAAGTAAGTTGGTTGGGATTCTTTCTCTAACTGTATGTTAGTCTCTTCAGATCTGTGTACTGTTACAGAGTGTAATGAATTACTGTATTTTCATTACATTCTCATATTTTCCAGGAAGTAATTGGTTGGTATAGCTTTCGAAGAAATTCATCACTTGTGCCTCACCTTCGAGACAGATTGCTTCATAAGGAGTTGTCTGCAGCTGTACCTCATGTGTCTCCTGAACATTTTACAATGTGTTTGTTGAACACTTCTATATCAAATGGGGGCTCTACACATGTTTTCAACCACAAGTTCTTAAGATATCGGCATAGGTAATTTTATATTATAATCTCCTTCATTTCTTTCCAAGGGTGTGTATTGTGATGTGATTAATAAGTGCATTGCTGTTCCAGTAAATTTGAAGCCTTACCTATGCAGATTCACAATTTAGGAGAAACACAACCTGAATATAAAATAGTACCCAGTACAACCAGTCTTTCCGAGTCATTTAATAATATTATTGCTTCTCTAAAGTAAGTTTTTGGAAATCACTGAAACATTACTATCGTTTACTGAATTGCTTCATTTTTTAATTAAATTTTCATTTAACTATTTTTCCACTAATTTTGTTTTAGAGTCAGTCATGAAAGTGGATCTGATGAAGCCCTTGTTTGCCATATTCAGAGGGCCCTCCAAGAGCATTTACGAAGGTTGATAAACGATGTGGCGCAATCTGAAATACGTGTAGCTGAGCTAGAAAAGGAAGTTGATATGCTGCGACAACAACCTGGGCCAATGCCTAATGGTAAGCACTTTTGCTTCTTCTCTTTTTCAAATGTTAACTTTAAATTAATACTTTGATATTTTTATTTCAGAAGTTCTTCTGCCTCAACTACTCCGGGAAGATCTAAATGACACTAATAAGCTGGAATCAAGTGAAAGTGATGAACCACCTGTTCTTACTCCCTCAAAACCTATTAAACGATCTCAGAGTCCCACCACAGATATCTGCAGTAATCACATTGAAAATAGAGTAGAAGAAGGTGGTGGTGGTGGTGGTGATGTTTCCTCTTCAAATGAACCCTTTGCTTATGTAACAGAAATGAAGGCTCAAATGAGTCAACCACACTCATCTCAGCCATCTTCGTCCATTGCAGTTGAAGGTACCAGTTCTGTAAAGCGGCCAATAGAAAGAGGCAGAGGCAGCGGGCGAGGCGCTGGGAGGGGGACTCGGAAGACGCAACAGCAGCAACAGAAACAACAACAACAAACATCCCTCCAGCAGCAACCCCAGAAACAGTCTTCACCAAAGCCTGGTGATAATTCAGAGTGTGCTGCTGCTGCTTCCAGGAGAAGCGGCAGTGCTGGGGCATCCCCTGTGCGTGGAGGGACAACAGCCAGCAATGCGAGAGGTCCTAAACGTTGTGGTTATGCTCAGGCCGTGAAGCGAGCTGGAGCGAATGCTGAGTCTCCAAAACCAGTTACCAGATCACAAACTGCTAATACTAGTTCACAAGAATATTGAATACATTTCTTTTCATTTGATTTCTTTTGTTTTGTCATATATGCTACCAAAACTGCATCTTGTTCCTGTTTTATAACCAAAGCTGAGTTTTCATAATGTTCATTGTTTCATTATCCTGCCTCTAGATACCTCACACAAACTAGTAGAGTTTAAATGAATATGAGATGAAAAATTTGTTGTTGCTCACAGCATTTTGTTCAAAGTTTGAGACAGTGTTGTAATAAATAATATTCAATGACGTAAACACAGTATAAGCAAGACTTAGGAGAATTAATTCAAAAAGTGTAATTTAAATATTCCTGCTCAGCAGTTCTGAGTCTGAGTTAGTGAAATAATCTGTAAATTTCCCTATAAAATATAGTAAATTGTGTTTCTTAATATAAAATTTTTGCACATTATATATAATACAATAATTCTGTGGATCATTGAGTGTGTTAAACAGAAAAATACTGTTTTCATGCCACAAGCTATTTATTTAAATAAAAACATCTTTGTTCAGGTAGGGGAGACAGTTTTTGTAGCTGACGTGTTATCTAATTAACTTCGGGAAGAAGCACAAGCTATGATATTTTCATACCAATACATATTTCATTGTATAAACAATGTTACAATAAGCAAAGATGTGACTTTGTCTTCACTGGGTATGGTACTTTACAAATTGTTTTTGTAAGTAATATGTGTTTTATCGTATGTATGTGTAATTGTGAGTCTAAAAAGAATGTAAGTGAATATCAGTTTATTTAACTAGTGGTCAGTATGTATGGGAATCTGAAAAGTCCAGTTTCAGTATCTCAGAACAATTTTCAATTCATAGGGGCCATTTGAAGTCTCTAATTTTTGGTACTATTAAAAATTCATAAGGTATTAAAAATTTTCATTGAAAATATGATTGAGCATGTTAATTCATTGTACTTTAATATATCTCAATTTAACACATTGGTGTTATACTATATAAATATATATAACAGACATTACTATGTTAGTGTTGCATAATTTGACATGTGTGAATCAACTGAGTTAAAAGGTAAGAACATGTTATAGGTTTATCTCCTGTTACTTGATATAGAAATAAAGTACCTCAAGCCAGCCTGTATGTGGTGATTTGTTCCCCAATTCTCATGATAGATCTACAATCGTAATGTTTGCTGAATCAGTCTCAGAACTTAGGATATTTTGGCTGAATTGTAGCTTCCATGTAGCAGAATTGAAATTTAGAAATAGATCTTGAGTTTAAGATTGTTTCTATACAGCAAGAGACTTTACTAAGCATCAAAAAAGAATGATTACTAATATTGGTTTTAACTATATTTAGTATGCAGTTACCATTGAATAATTCTAAAAGGCTAAATATGATTCAATCAAGAATTGCACCTCAGATTCTGGTTCAGTGACCATACCTTAATCACAATTTTTGCATAGTTTCCCTTATTCTTTGATCGGATACTGAGATGGCACCATGTTTTGCTTCTAAGCATAAATGTAACTACACTATCTGCATATTTCCTAGAGCTCAGTGGGGAGTATAGATATTCAAATTGTCTTTCTCCTTGATCTGAGAAGTAAAACTTCCTTCACAAGGGCCCGGGGAGGGATAACCTCTATCCAATTTGCATGGGCCAATAGTTTTTTTAATACACATGAAAAACTGTGTTTTTACTAATTCTTGAAAAAAAACAACACTTTCCCATATGTATTAATAATTCAAATTGTATGTGGTTTAGGGTATGGATCACAGATTTTAAGAACTGCATATTTTCTTGAGTTCCAAAATCCCTACCATCTTTTCTGATTATATTTCATTGGCAAATAAAGGTACTATTCGAGGAGTGCAATTGGCAAAATTTGAAAATTGCATGTAAATGTAAAAGAAAAATGTTTGCCAATGAAGAAGTAGTTTGATTTTGCAGTATGCATTTGCTAGTAAATCTTGAAAACAATTTTTTTTAAAAATTCAAAACAATTTTTTTAACATGTTATTTTGCAACTTTAATTTAATAGTTATGGTACAGCATTTTGCGTACAAAATAAGGATTTTTTTTATTTTCATAAAGGAATTAGCAAAGTTAACACGATTGTGCGTTTTCGAAGAACTATTGTTAAACAATTTTATTTCTATCCATTCATAAATAGTTATAAAAGCACAAATTACTTTTTTTCTCATATTTCAATTTTTACGTGCCATGAACATTGCAAATATTGAACCAGAAAGGTAACTGCAGGTTTTGTTTGTTTGAAAGTTTAAGATACCTTTCATTATATAACACTCAAACAATAATAGTAAAGCTCAATAAAACACAAAATTATCCTTTCTTTTGAAGACAATCAATGGTATTTGATAAAAAAAAAAGTCTATTCGCATTACAATGTTTTGTGTGTGGTTACATGCATCATGTGTTTACATTTTCATCTAAAAATAAAAATGATATACTTATTTGAAAATATTTTATTCAGAGTTTACAAAAAACGGAGAATAAAAATCTTTAAAGTAAGAGTTCAAGTGAAAAATGTAAGTGATAAGTACAAATATAAATTAGATGGGAGAAAACTTACCAAAACAACATTAAACAAGCAATATCTTGTTAAAACAAAACTTCTTTTCTTTTTTTCATGTTTTTACATGACATACTTGTTTAATGATGCACCTTAGTAGTTGAAAAGCAACCTTAAATAAAATTTTAAAAAATCTTTAAAGGGGCATATGTTGAATGAAATACATGATTTCTCCATTTCAAGGAAGAATGGAAAATCATAGCATTAATTTAGTTTCCTGAGATTATGTTACATATCACAATACAGCAAGACTGATCAGTACTTATGTTTGGGGTGTATGAAAAATAATTTCTAGAAAGCTCACACTTTAGTGGAGCCCCCACTGATAAATTGTAAGAGTTTTCATTTCTGTTTATGTTTAATAAATAGTGATGTAAATGTAATAAATGGCAATAGACAATAATTGTGATTTCATCTGAACAAAAGGAAAAAAATAAATTTTTAGAAAAATTACATTAGTATGGGGAGCTGCAGAATTTGTAGAAAAATATGTGATAAGCAAAAATTTGGAGAATAGGAATACATAACAGGAAATCACTTAATAGGAGTCTACTGTATTTAAATGTTTCAGAGATATGAAAGATTGAATGAGGATTCATTTTTTACAGTAATTATGTCAAATACATTAAACAATAAATTTGACTAGAAACTTAAAAAAAAAGACAATAAAATTTTATAATTTTGAAAGAGAAAGATTTTATAAATCAATAATTAATTTTATTAATAAATGAATGCACAAATTGTAAAGTGTTGCTTGAACTTGAATATGCATATACTTCTTTAAACAGGATAGCATGCAAGCAGAGCACAGTTTGAACATGTGTTTGAACATGCAAAGACTTGCTTGTTATCTGTAATTATGAAAGTTTCATTACACAATAGCATCATTCTTGCTATTATGTCAGCAGTGATGCCAAATGGAAGTTCATAATATTTATTTCACTGTGATATCTTAACTTTTGAAAGTAATACATCTAAGCTGTAGTTTAGTCTGAAGATTTTAGTCTATTGTAAATCAATTTTTGAATCAAGACAATGAAAGCATTTTTAAATAAAGTAAATATTTTATTTATTCAAAAAGGCTGTTTATTGAATCAATAATATGTTATACCAAAATTGAATGTATTCTAAAGGTGTAATTATTTATATTGTTGTTTTTATTGTAGTCTCTGTAGTGGGGGATCCTTGGGGTTTGAGACCTGAGACTGGCAAGAATTTTGACACCAGCTAAATTGAATTCAGTTGCCATCTAGATGAGAAATCCTGTAGCTGGTTGCTCTGTTTGAAAATTTCCCATAGTTTCTCTGATCAAATATCAGGAGAGTGCCGAAGCAGTACTCTAACAAATGGGCCACAGACTGCCTGAGAATTTTCCTTCCTTGTGCTATCCTCTCCCCTTACTTACGCGCTACATTATGACACATTCAGGAACTTAGAGCTTGTCCCACCTGGGGCGGTGCTGCACTGGAGTGGTATCCTCGCAAGTCTATGAGTAGGTCAGCAGTCTCATCATCCATCTGGGAAAAATCACTGTCACCTTTCATGATAAAAACATGCACTACACTTATGTGACTAATGACCTTAGCAGTTGATGACCCTAGAAACATGAAATAATCAATCATTATTTGAGTTCTATTAAATGTATTTTGTGTAGAGCATAGATAAATATTTTTATGTTGTTTGATGAATATAATTCTGAAGTTCTGTTAGTTACATTTTTGACGTATTTGGAACAAGAATAAATCTTAATTTTTAATTATTATTTTATAATTACATTGTTTAATTAGAGTTATGTGCATGCTTCTTCCACTATGTTCAAAGAAAGCTGTCTGTGTTACTTAAAAAAAGGGGCTTGAAAAGGAATTCAAAAGGCAAAAGCAAGCAAGTTCAAAATGATAGACAAAATTGTACCAAAGTAAATGACGACCCGGAGAATCTAACATCAAGTCCAGTTATAAAAGAAAATACCAAATCATCAGAGAATGTTAATAAACAAATGGACTAAGTTTCTAAATTAATTGGGATGACACTGACTGTACCACTACCTGATAACCGCAAATTTGTCTTAACGGTTTGCCCATTTTGGCAATTGGGTATTGAAATTGCTGATAAAATAAATTTAATAGATGCAATAAAAATATCTTCTGATCTTAAAGTGAAATAACATATTTTTGTTAATAATAACATTTTGTTTTTGATGTGTTAATTTTAAATTCTGCTGTAAAAATAAGAAAAGGTACAGACATTTTATTTATAAAGGAAACCACCTAAGAATTGGTTCCTCAAAAGGCTCATGTTAAAATGTATTCAGTTGAATAGTCATGCACACATGGAATAAATTATACATACCATCTTTTTCAGGTCATTCAATGGCTTGAAGGCGACTAGTTTTATCATGGTGAATGTCTGCACAGTAATCTTCAAGAACAAATAATGCCAAGTGAAGTCAAAGGCTTCCTTGGCCAAACAGGCAAATGATAATGGCTGCTCAAGTGTCTATCGCAGCATTTAAATTCGAGCGCTTACCATATGGCAAACTTCAGCCCTAAAAAGGACCAGAATGAGATGGTCCAGAATGGATGGATGGAAATTTTTTAAATTTAATGTAGTATACTAATAAAATGTACAAGGATAAAGAAATTATAATTTTAATGACAATTAATAAATGCGATTGATTATGTTTAATTATTTACAGGGTTGGCTGATTGCTTAGCGAGCCTCTTCCCCAAATTGTCAGGTTAAAAACCGGAAAATCATGGATTAAACTTGTGTAAGGAAATAAAATATTGCATTATGCAAGGCTTGATATTTAAATATGTAAGGAAGGGCTCCTTTTCAATTTGTGAGGGTGCCTCAGTCCTCATATGTGCACATTTAAATGTTTAATGATGGGAGTATAATGGCCCTTGTAACAAAAATCATATATACATACAAACTAATTTTTAACATTTTGCCCCAAGATATGTTCTTGTCTATTTCAATTAAAAGCATAATTTAATTCTGTACCTCAAATTTCATTTCCCCTCTCATTCAAGATACACACAGTGTGAATTGGCTCCCAAAGTATGGTTTGGCTGCACTTGAGGAAGGGGTCTTAGTGTACCTATAATGTGTGAATCCATGCCACTTACATTACTCCTTGAGAATACATAGGAAACTTCCTTGTTAGAATTAATTAGAAGTAACTGATGACACAGGTGGATCTAGAAAGCATTTCAGTGGGAGACAGGAGGCAATTCCAGTTCAATACACTCCTCAAAAGTATATGGTCAAAAGATATGGGAATACTATTTTGGTTGCAATATCTTGATGGCCGGGAGGGAGGGGGGTGTATGGCTCCTGTGCTTGCCCTCTGAAACTGACATTTTCTGACAAATAGTTGTTATCTAAAGATTGCATTTTCATATATTAAAGGTAATACATACAATTCTTGAGTAAATTTTGTGTTTGCGCTTCACTAACAATGATATTAATGATCTGTTGACTTTTCCTGGTATCTTCAACACAAAAATATTTGATATCCTAATAATTAAGGCTTACTGTATGTAGTTTGGTTATGAAATTTTGTGTCTTAATTCACTTTTCTTATATTTAACAATGACCATTTAACTCTAGTGATGCAAATAATACTCATCATACATATATCATTTCATACTTATATCAATTAGACATGGACATGGTCAAAAGAGGAAGAAAATGAATGGGATGCCAAAATTGTTCATAAAATAGCTTTGACAATTAACAAAATGTCTTGACTTTTTCATGATTCTTGAACTTTCCAGTACTGTTGGTCACCATTTTACTTCTCCAGCCTTGATTCAGAAAGACCATCCTTTGAGAAAAATATACAAATAAGGCCAAGAAGCACTCTATAATATGATGAAAAGGTTCTCTGAACTTGCTTAGAGAAACGCACGAAAAATGACCTACTGAGAATTTTATTTCAATTACACAAACAAGAAGTGACTCTCTATTTTACATGGAGTTATAATGATCTTTACTAAAATGATTTCCATATTTATTAATGCTTCAAGGTTCAGCAAATATTTTACACTTGGGCAACATGAGACACTGATGTTAAAATAAAGTTCGACATCACACTATTTTCATAATAAGAGCCTTAAAAAACAGTATTCCAGAACATCCAATAATTTACACATTTTACTTTTCAATGTCACAGATCTTGTATTAAAAAGAAATTTATAAATAATTTTCATTGGTAATTAGTACAACTATGTACATAAATGCAAACAAACATTAGAAGTGAATTACAGAAGACATGCATCATCAAATGCCACAACATAAAGAATTCAGTAATGGGGTGATCACTTTAAATTTTAATTGATGCACATGAAAATAATTATGATTTTATTACCATATGTCTGATAATTGTTCTAAATTAGCTGAATATTTACATTGTAAGTATTTTTACAGTTTATCGAAGATAATGATTAATCTTTAAAAGCTAGTTAGCACTTTTTTACAGTTGCTAGTTCTCTAAATTTGTATATGGCAGGAATCCTTCCTCTTTGTAATACTGTTGCACATTAATGTATTACACCAAAATGCTGTATTCTTTGGAATATGTACAATCCCCTTCAATGTTTCATTCTTCATCACTAGCCTCCATAGAAACCAGAGTTGAATACAAAAACTGCAAAATAAGTATGTGCAAATACATGGATGCTGAAAACATGCTAATAATTCTAACAATAAATTCTATACAAGGCATGCTTCTGGAAATATATGACTTTAAACTCAAAACAGGTCTTTTTAAGTTTTCATCTATAGTTTTGTAAGTTCTAAATTACTTTTATAGTGACATTTGTGGAGTAAAATTGAATTATCCATTTATATGAGCAGCAAAGAAGATAATATTTCTTTAAAAAATAAAAAATTCTAGCTAAATAAGTGATATGCTGAATTCATTATCATTTTGGGTATTTGATCTATATGAATATATAATTTAAGAAACAATCATACCATGGCAGCAAACAATTGCAAATTATGAAAATCAATAAACATATCAAAATTTTTGCTTTGAAACAAAAAATAACACTTTAGAAGCCGAACTCATCTTTAAATTGGAAATAAAACACAAATTCTCTCAATAGTTTGTACTTAATTATACTAGGACAACTTTGCATTATCAAATTGCAACCTTATTGCCATTTCAATATTGCACCATGATCTACAAATTATTAAAACTACAAATAAACCAAAGACATTAATTTGTACTTCACCCTTTCAGAAAAAAATGAAAGAAACAATAATTCTTCCATTACCCACTGTCAGCGAAATTTACAAGTCACGAAATATCTCTTGCATTTAAAAAACCAAACAAGTTGTGTGTAAGTTGCAATACATGTGAAAGCTTGTACTATAAAAAAATAATATTCTATGAAATAAAAGAAATGAAACTGTGAAGCATGAAACAAGAAAAGGAGTGAAAGTTAAGGGTGTTTCTGACACGCTTTGTTATCTCATTTTGTTCACTGAAATCTTTAACCAATGATCTAAAATGTCTTCCAGTAAAAATTGCTGTATTCTTAAGAATATTTTCACTGTAAATGTCTTGCCATTTTATAGTATTTGAATTTTTTCTGACCATTGTACTAAAGAGATTACAAACAAATATCCTTGGTTAACATTTCACCTTGACAGAATTTTATGATAAATTATGAAAATGACTAGATTTCATATTTTATAAAGGTATTATAAACTTAGTAAGTTAATATACTGCTTTTTGATACATTAACTGTAAAGGGAGGTTAGCATGTTTTCGTTTACACAATGTTAATTGAATTGACAATATAAATATGTATCTTGAGAATATTTCTAGAGATGAAACAGGTTATTTCAATTCTAATGCATTAGCATACAAAAATTCTATTCAAATCATACCAAGATGTGTGCATTATAATGTTAAAATTGTTCCCAATGCATTCAACAGAAGTGAAAATACCATTACTCATTAGATTAAAAATTTTCACAATTTATTTTTGTGATCAGTTTTATTCTAAATATTTTTATTTGGATCTTCTAAGACTCAGAATTAGATTTCAGATTCAAAAACATTTCTTCAAGACAGAAATGATCAATTGTTTTCTCATGAAATCGAGTTATTGAGCAAAAATTAAACAAACAGAGAGTTTTACTATATAAAAATCATTGCCTTTTCTTTTCAAATAAGAAACAACAATAATAACAGGCAAAATACAAAACAGATTTTAAAGAAAACATTGCATGCAAAATTTAATGCACACATCATACTACTGTTGAAGGCATTTTGTATTTAATATTCTTATATACACACAAAGAGAAAATACTGCAAACGAAAAATTAGAGAATTGACTAAAACGAAAGAAACTCACCACATATATGTTTTATATGTGTGAAAGAGTAAATTTGTAACGTTTGTAATTTTTCTCAACACTGTGTTCAATTTCAGCTTGTTCTACAATATACTATTTTGTTATCAATTTTTTTGTTTCTCTAGAATAGGAAATTGAATACATGTTCATTCAGTCATGAATATATATAATCATTTGAACTTTCTCTAATTCAAATGATACAAAGAAATTCATTTACATAATAAATGTAGATTTACATTCTTAATTTCTCTATTAACACAAATTGCAAATTATTACATAATAAATATTTCAATATAATAAACAAAAAGTTGAATACTGCTAGTATTGCTGATTTCTCAAGACATCATATTTGTTTAGAATTTCAGCTTATTAGTTCCATTATTTATTGTTTAACTTTTATCTCTCACTGCTCTGAGCACAATAACTTTCGAATCTTAGAGTTTTCTTATTGCACCCATAGAGAAGATCACAAGTTTCCTCTTTGCTGCTGAGAAAGGGGCACAGCACAGAAATCAAGTCCTACATATACATTCTTTAGAATTGAGAGCAAATTCAACATTCACATTTGAAATGTAATCATGTACACACATTCTTCCTTATTATTACAGTAATTAAAAACTGAGAAGTCACTTGATGCTGTGTGATACTCATTGCAAGTACAGAATGCAAGAGGTAGGTCACAGTGATGTATTAACCTATTTTAGTTTTTCTTTTTTACGAATTGACAAGAAGAATGCAATTAACCAACATACAACACAGAAGGGAGGTGCTTATTGAAATATAAAATCACAGACACTCAAAAAATATGCTTAATATTTCACATGTCCACTACAACACTGCATAGGCAAGGTTTCTCAGCATGCAGAACTGTTCACATCGGAAGTGTCAGTCTGTTTTCCTCATTGACTATGCAAATGATTACAATTACTAGATGGCCCAGATTTTGGCATGGCACCTACTATACGTACACGGGTGACCAATCGGTTATCGCTGAACTGAGGAGGTGGAGCAAGGACCTCTTCGCCTTCAGTACTAGGACCTGCAGCACCACCCAGGAACTCTGGTGGAGGAGGGACAACGAGCTCTCCTTCCCCCTCTCCATCTCCTTCCATTGGTGGAGGAAGCTGAGCCAGGGAGACAGCGTTCCTCGTCAAGGGACCCCCTCCTCCGGCCTGAGAGGACCTCTGCCTACTGTTGGGAGGAGGTGTCTGCCTTTCCTCCGTGCCCGTTGACCCACCTGAACCTTCTGACGAGCGACCATCGTCAAAGCCACTTGGTGGGCCGACAGGAGCATCTTGATCAGAACTCACGCCACTTGAAGAGTTATCGCCATCCTCGGGAGCTGGATGAGTTGCCAGAAAATCATTGGGGTAGCTTTTTGAACTCTTCAGCTGCGTACGCACTTTCTGTATTTCTTCCACACTAAAACTATGTGGCAGAGTGCCTGAACTACCAGATGAACTGCCGCCACTGGTCTCAGCTCGAGCAGGAGCAGCTTCTGGGACTTCTCGGTTGCCCTCTCCTTCACTATCACCCTCACTTTCACTTAAACTGTAGTCTGGTTCTGGAATTGGGGGTGGACCACCACTAGTGCTTCCATTCCCACTAGCTAAGTTAATAGCAGATGAACTAGAGGTAATGTTTGGCTTCTTGCTTGATTTAAGACTGTCTTTGCGGCTTGTGCGAAAGGGTTGAGCATAAGGGTTACTACTTGCAGGTGGGGAGTTAGCAGATGAACTTGGGCCAGCTGGTTTAAATGAAGAGGCAGAGGATCTTAGACTGTGCGATTTGCGAACCTGAAACACACACAAATGTTTTTATAATTTTTATTTATTCATCACACAGCAGATGGCAAGGATATAGTATCACAGGTTATCAAAGGCTAAGAGGGCACAACATTCCAAGAAATATAATTACTTAATTTTATAATTAATCAATAATTTTAAATAACAATTAAAATTTATTATTAATTTTAATCTTGTTGTCAGTGATGCTCTAAAGGGGGTCTCTGAAGTATCCACATTTTCAGGAACATTAGATAGTCTTTATGCACTTTTACATATCAGTGTTGAGACAGTGAAAATCCTTCATGAAATATCAAAAGTTACTAAAAGATTGTGAATTGTATTTCCTTTATATATGAACCATCAAACAATGTCTTTTTGCATACGAAGCAGAAACCTACTTCAATAATGTATTTCAAGAATGAAAACATTTATTTAACTTGTGTTTTTCACAATAAAATATGCAAAATAGCATTAGTATTGCTTGTTTTAGGGAAAACAACTCATGTTTTGAAACAATTTTAAATTAACTTTGTCATGGTTGGTTGCAAACATGGACAGAATATTTTTCTAAATTAAAGAAAGGTTTGAGATATTCTATTAAGCCAGTTTGAGAATTTGAATCCTACACTATTAATAAGTGTTGATGATAGTCAAGTCCAAATCAATTGTGTAGTACATTTGAAAAAATTATGTTGGTAATTATGTATTTGATATTATCTAGTTGTAGTTTAATTGTTCATGTTGGCATAGTATTCTTCGCTAAAGTTAATAAAGCAGTGGAGATCTTGGGGATCAAGGGGTAGGGGATCAAGAGAACTTTATCAATATCAAATATTTTCTAGAGCTTCAAATCTCTACCCTTGCTTATTTACCAAGATTATGAATAAAAGATAGCAAGGTGCATTGTGATAGAAGATAGCAATAAAAATGCAAGGATTGTTCTGAAATTTTGGATAATTCTTGGAAGAATTTTTGGCACTACTAAAATGATTATAGATAAAAATAATAATAAATAGATACTCTTTTTCATTTGTCAGTGTTTTATTTATGGGGGCAAAATCTGCATTATTAGAATTGAGAAAGAATACAAAATGTTCAACTTGAATGAACTTGAAAATTGTATGGAACAATTACTAACACCAAGGGAGGAATGGAATCAAAAGATCCAAATAATAAGAAAAAATCAATAATTAATAAAAACAGCAGTCCACTGACATACTGATATTAGTGGCAATTATCATATAAAAAAATTAAATTAACTGAAAAGATGAAGAATGTGGTTGCCAACCTTCCAAAGAACCCTTTCTACAACAAGGCGAGTGTGTTTTTAGATGATGCCTGCTTTGGTGCCTATGGTTTATAACGAATTACAATATGGGAAGGGGGAGGGGGGGAGATTTTGCTCCATCATTTTCAAAACTGTTTCCTATTCATTTAATAATCTACATTTCATCAAAATTCTTGCTTCTTTATTTTAATAAAATGTAGAATTATATGTCTTGTTTCTAATAATATTAGATATCAACATTAATTTTAAAAAATTATGTTAATAATGTCACTCTCTTGTAGAGGGGCATAAATAGTTATATCTCTGCTCGTCACACAGTTTAATTTTTTCAAAGCATCATAATGCAATGTCTTGATAAAACAAAATTTGTCACAGAATCAAGATTAAGTTTAATTAAACAAGAAGTACAGATTACAATATTGGGAGAAATATATTACAATGAAACTTACTTGGGGTCTAGAAGAATGTGCAGGCAAACTATGAGACCTGTAGCCAACTGTCTTCACATCTTCAGGAGAAGCATACAATTTGGCACTGTTTGTAGGCCTGAAGCTTGACATGACAGCTGAACCAGTGTCGCTTCCACTTCCACTGCTATTCCCACCTGATACTCTGGTTTGCAAAGGATCCAGTTTTGTCCCCGGAGTCATATTAACATATTCAGAGTTAGATTTTATAATGCCACGGGAAACATCTACTTTCACCTGTAAAAATTCAAATAAACATAATTTTTTTTATTATTCATTTAACTAGTTAATATACACCCCAAAAAATGCAAGATTGCACTATGCAAGATAACAAACTGAATTCCATGTATCTCAATGTAGATACTTGAAAAATGCTTGATAGGCACATTTTGATGATAAACTTTATTATCACAACTATGGTGCTCTGATATTGTCAGCAGTTTCCTCAGATCAGGAAAAAATAATTATTATCTTAAACCAAGTTTTATATATAGAGTGATCTTTCATGAGAGGGCATTGAAAATAAACTGCCAAAAGCCTACTTTCTGTATCGTAAATAGAAATTGCCATAAACACAAACTGATTAAAATTATTAGTTCCTCTGAAATGTCTTGAAACAAGTGTACAGGGCTCAAAAAAATTTCTTGAACTCAAAAGACAATAAAAAGAAATGTGAAACAAAATAAACAAGAGACCATCTCAAAACTCAAGACAATTTTTTCAAAGTCATTGTTCAATAGCTATGCGAACGTCCTAATCGATCAGACTAGTTTCATCCCATTTTTCGCCCCTATTCTGCTAAAAAGATATTTTCAAATTTTGTGAAATCCTGATGACTTTCTCTCCTCAGTAAATATTTTTTTCATCCAATAATGTGTATTGATGATAAAAAACAGAAAAACCAATTGTTTTCTCTAATTTTTCCCTGAGAAAAAATTAATTCTTAACAGTGTTTAAGAGCTCTACCAATCCTCAATTACACCAACTATTTGTAGAATAACAAGGATAATCTCTTCTTAAATTCATTTAATACCTCTCCTTTGTCACATTTACACAGTTGTTTGTTTCTAAACCCTAGCATAGAAAATCTCTCTTCATCCATCTCCCTTCTCAAAATTCATCCAGTACCACTTGTCATTGCTGATTTGTATGTTTAACTTATTCTCATAATTCATCATCTACTCACCACCTGGCCGACTGGAGGAGGAGGCGGAGGATGCGACGGTGGAGGGAGAGGAGGTCGACCCACAACTGGGCCAGATGCTCCACCGCTCGCCAACAGTGAGGCCACATCCTCTTGGCTACGATGTCCTTTAGGAACACGGTAATCTCCATTGGGCGAGCCAGTGCCATTGGTCAATGCAGCATTTTGAGCAAGATCAGGAGTACTGTGAAAATCTCTATGTAACTCGGAGCCGCCACCAAAGAATCTCACTCTTGTGCTCAGCTAAACAAACAAACAAAAATGCATAAAGAGTAGTTTAATTTTGATAGCTTGAGTAATGAAGTCTTGGCTGTCTGGGAAATGCCACATCTTAAAAGGGTTGCTAATATTTAGTTACATTTGCCCTAAAGAAGTCAAAGTTGAAAGTTGAGACAATGGCAACCCTGCTTAGGATGCAGCGTCTTCCATACAAACAGAACCTCCAAAATCCATGAAAACTTTAAATGTTAACATGCAAATACATTTATTTTTAATAAAATAAACATTTTATAATAGCTTAAAAGTGGCTTCACACATTCATTATTTTTCTCAATGTCAGTCTTTTGGTCACATCAAATAAAAGAACATTGACCGAGCTCATCAGCTGCTGGGGATTGGGCAAGCAATAGCTCACCGTTTGGTGAATGCCGTATGTGTGGAGCAGGCTTATGATGTTTTCACATTGCAAGAAGATTAAATTAAAATTATACCTTTCCTTTGCTTCGCTTCATTTCAGCAACGCTTGCATACACACGAGGAGTTCGTGCAGGAGATGAAGGCTGAGATACACCACCAGGCGTAGTAGCTTGAAAATGTGATGTTGTCATTTCTGAAGAGGCTGAAAAAATTGAAAGCAGCATTTAACAAAAGTACTTTACAAGAAATAATAAGAACAGATACAAATTTAAGGGGAAAACATTAAACATTTAACAAAAATCTGAGTAGTATAAGTATTTTCACATTTGTAGTTTCAAACAATGCTTAAACTGTCTGGCAGCATTTTTTAGCTAAGAAAAATATTGATGTCTTTGAAATAAAAATAGGCATCTTAGCGTGGTTAAAATTTTGAATTCTTACTCTACATTTACAAATAAGTAGTAGTAAGAAGCAATCATCATCCATATTTGGTTAGTAACAAATAATTCTATATTTGGTAAGTCACAGACAAACTTCTGTTTACTGAAATAATGGGAGAAGATTCTTTCTGGATAAATAAAATGTTGGCTAAGAAGAAAGTGTTTATTTTTAAAGATAAACTGAAATAATTTTTTTTTTTTTTTATCAGCTTACATGATGGACTTTTACTGTTTAAATGTAAGTGTACATGTACATACAATTTTTACCATGGTAGAAAGCCTACAGTTTTGTGACAAAATTGTTTATCCTTCTCTGTTTCTTCTTCTCACACTGTTTTATAGCAATGATATCTCACTTTGCCTTTCTCCTCTCAATCTCTAAGAGAAACGTTGACTGAAATGGGCGACACATCATGCTGTTTCGGTTTTCTCTTTCTCTCTCTCTTGAGTGCGTAGATCATTTCGCTTGAATGCTATTTCTGTTAAAAGGATTTTAATTAAGAGGGGTTCTACTGTATAACTATCATAATCATTCAAACAGGGACTATCATACATAGTCAGACCTATACTCCATGGCTTCAATAATTTCATTTGAATTGTCGTAAAATCATCAACTGTACGTATTTCTCATGAATGAATAGTTCAATTTAAAAAAATTGTGGGGTGGTGTTAAATATTTCACATCCAGAAACTATATGTATATGTCAAGTTGTACAAGTATATGTCAAAATTAACACTTAATACAAACTTATTTCATAATTAAGTTTGTAAACTTATGTCATATTCTTAAAGAAAGAAAACAAAATTTGTAGTTTTAAACTCATCATTTAACATATACTTTGAATAGTTCATTCTGAAGTACATTGTCTGTCAAACCCAGATAAAAAAATCTTTTATTATTAAATAAGGGATTACAGGACTTCCATTAAATATTTTAGACAGATTAAGACTTTTATGTCAGGATTAAAAAAAGTTGTAGCAGTCTAAGAGACACCATGTTCTAGGCAACATTGCCAATATTTTGATGGTATAAACACCTTCTTGAAGCTAATCTGTCATTAACTCAGAAATAGTTAACTGTTTAATGACTGAAACATTGGGAACACTGTCTAAGATATAAAGAACAGTCAATACTTGCAAAGATGACAAAAAATGTAAAATACTTCATTCATCAGATTATGAAACATGTACTTATTAATAGATTAACCTTTATATAATGCATTTAGGAACTTAATAAGTACAATAACCAACGCTTTGTATTAAAAATTTAATTTCACTAATATTCTGACTAAATGTAAAGTTAAACACCCTTCTTTGGCATTTCTTTTACCAATTGGGACAATTATTCAAATAGTATACAATGTTCTTCCTGTAATTTTTCTGACACCTTCAGTAAATGCTTTCACATCATTTGTCGCAAGGCATCTACTGTGTGAGATATGAAAATTGATGTAAGTTTCCAAATATGCTGACATTCATTATGTGTAAATTTTAAACCAGAACATTTTTTTTTTATCACAAATTAAAGAATTGTTACATCATCTCATAGGTCATGTACAATTTTAGAAGGTTAAACAAGATTTTGTCAGATTTATAAAAACAACAAGAAAGAGAGTTCTAGAAAGCATAATGTAGCAGTATGCCTTACATCCATTGGCAGCTCCTCCCTGTTGTCTTTGGAAAAGCTCTTCCAATTCAGCAGCAGTGATGCGACTTGAAGTTGGACGAGCCCGAATAGACGCAGTACGAGGCTGCACAGGAGTACTGCTGCCACCCCCACTGGCAATTGACTGTTGATGAATCGACTCAGCTGAGCTACTTTTCGCAGTTCCACCACCACCTGTCAAACTGCCATCCATATCATCTCCCTCTCCATCCTTCTCTCCTCCACCTTCTGAAATTGCAAATAAATCAAGCTCTTGATATTTCAATTCATATTGCACAGTTTACATTTCATACTATATTAGATTAATTATGAGAATGTAGTCCTAATGATCAAGCAAATTATGAATAATTTAATATTAATTCATTAATAAATTGACTGATTGAAAAAAGTTAAAAACTGTATGTGACATACTATGTGGGAGAAATGCAAATACAAATAAATCTCAGATTACATCATGAATGTGCGAACACATTACACAATACATTTCACCAATTTCTTCAAATACTTCACTGTAAATAACATGAATTTCACATTGTGCCACCCTCCAAAAAAAAAATCTCAAAACATTATGGCTTTTCTAAAAAGATTACATGCACAGGTGTAGTTTGAGGTGTAGATCTTCAATATTTGTTACATCACATTCAGACAATAACAATATTTTGTGATATATTCTGGCCATTCCTAAGTGTATTTTCAATATTTGAGATTAAAATTTCCTTACAATTCTTTCAGCTGAATCACAACACGTACAGTAGATATCTAGATATCATTAAATGTTAAATGTTCTTATCTCTCTTAAAACTACATACCTAAACCTGCAACCATTGATCGAGCTCGAGCACGACCAACACTGAGAGTAGTCTTTGGATCTCGACGGGGAGGAAGAGGGGCTGGAGATCGCCCTAAAAATAGGAGGAAAATATAATTAGGTTTAATTGTACATCTAGAGCTAGACATTAAGGTAAATAAATAAACCTACCAACAGTCCCTGTGCCAGTCATTTTGCGAGGTAATGTGGCATACTGCCTCTGATGTACTGCTGTTCCTCCTGTCCCACTAGGAAGCAAAGTTGATGACTTTGAATTTGGTACAGAACCAATACCTGTGGTTCCAACAGAAACCACAGTCATTGATACTAGGTCACCAGAACGACGAATCAGGTCAACCACATGTTCATGTGATGCTGCAGATACATCTTCTCCATTTATCTACAAAAAATATTTTGTTTTCTTGAAAAAGCAAAAGTAATGTGATTACAGTAAACACAAACTTTTCTCCTTTCTAAATTTTACTTCATGAAAAGAAACAGAGAAATTGATTGTAAGTGATTTATAATAAATATAAACGAGTCTTTCTTATTCAATGATGTTCAAGTACAAACACACTACATAACATAAAGAGAAATATCTAAATACTAATATAAGACATGTATCTTTAAGCGTACAATATTTTTCTAAAAATTTAAGTTCTTTGCTTTATTTATTAAAACTTTTAATTCTTTGATTCACTTTAAAATTTTCCAACAACATGTTGATAAAAAGGATATTTTTATGAATTCCAGACCTTTGCTAATTTCTTTCAGTTACCATTTCAGTTAGAGCACCATAACTATTCACATGAAGTTCAACTACTTGTACAATAGCTAGATAATCACTAAATTCAATTTGTCATACACAATTGTAATGATGTATATGACTCACTATCATTGCCATTGTTATCAACATCAACATCATAACTACTTTAAAAACGTATTTACATCTGAAATGTTTTCTTTCCACTGTCCGGCAATACAAATCAAAACTGAATCAAAATTATTTTTTCGTTTAATATGAATTTAATATATTTTATATAAATTAATACAGAAAATAAATAAATAATGAATTATCTTATTTCATATGATAAGATTAACTCACAGCAAGAAGATAATCTCCTTTACGTAATCCTGCAATGTCTGCTACACCACCACGATCCACATCATCTAGATACTGCAGAGCTGGACACCTTTCTGATGGTTGCAGTTCCATCAGTGGAGATGTTGCTTTAGCACCACGAAGTACAAAACCAAATCCCTTACGTGCACGATGCAGCACCACATTGCGAGGTTCCGCAGGGAGTCGTCGAACTCCAAATCTAGATGCATCAATCATTAGTCTTTGCCAGAAAAATAGAAATCGTGAAAATACTTTGTACATACAATTAAGATAATTGTTGCAATCCTGAAAACAGAATTCAGTAGATACTCACTGTTTCTTAAGGCGAGGTGCAGTAGCAAAATGCTTATGCATTGACTCTCGACGACCTTGGACTCTAGTAGTTGGGCGTTGATGGCACAATGTAGAGGCAGGAGGGAGTTGGGGCATTGCAGGAGGTGGCATCACACCCTGACGAAGCCTGACTTCCTGGACACAATGTGGTGGGAACAGTCCAGATCCCTGTCCTCGTAAATTTCCCTCAAGATATCCGTCATCTGAACTTCCAGTTACTGAAAGATAAATGAACATATATCTTATCGATATTTTTGAAAGATATATTCATGAGCAAGGCCCTTCAATTAATTAATTCCTATTTTCATTGTCTGACAGGGTGGTTGTAGTACCTTCTAATACATCTCCTTGTGTGATGCGTAAGTGCCCTGGAAGACCTGAACTGTAGTTTTCTACACAAACTACAGTTGTTCCAGGAAGTAAAACACAACCACTAGCAGTTGTTGTGTCACTATTAGATGTACCAACTCCAGAGCTGTCACTGATGATATCACTAGTATCACCCAAACTCTTATCTGCATAAAGATAATAGTTGCAATGAATATAAAACTCTACAGAAAACTACTGAAAAATTCCTTTACTTTACTTACTTCATAAACTCCTCAATAAAATATTTATAATATGCACAAAAAAAATGTTTATCTACAGTCCATAAAACAGTATTTAGCATGGATGCAAAAAGCAAGTATTATACTCTTCTATAAATGAATTCATAATTTCTAATACAAGATGCAAAATAGAAAATATATTTCAAATAGAATATTTATTGAAAGATATATACTAAACTTAACTTGCTGCTACTTGGCAGACTCATAGCACCAATAGCCCCATACAGTATTTGCTCAAAACAGCATCATGCATATATTTAACATTTAATACTGTGATGGTGACACATACTGCACTTGGGAGACAGGGACACAGATATTGAAAAATTATTTGTTCCAACAATTATATAATAATGTGGTGCAAGAATACCCCGTATTACATTTAAAATGGTTTTTGAACATACATGTGTATTAGTTAAAGAGATTTCAGAAAAAAAAAAAAAAAATATTAAAAGAACATCATAGAAAAGGAATTTAAATTTTAAAGAATGCATGGAAAAATTACAGAAAAACATTCCAGACATTAAGTGAGAGAAAAGACCTCTCATGCAAGGAAATTTATAACAGTCACAATAAAATGTTTCTCAACAGCATGATATGACTGTGGCTGTTATTGAAGCAAATACCCAAAATACAGTAAACACTTCATTATTTGGAGCAGAAATCAATGTTTGTTAAACACAAAAATGAACTTTTTTCTTTTCTTCATTTTAATGCACATGGATGTCCCAAATGCATCAGTAATCAAGGGTTTACTGTTCTAAAATACTTAAAAAGCTACAACACATGGGAGCAGAGCGGGGTTGGGGCAGCATGGTGGTGATGGTTGTAGCTGGGCTGCCCCTACCTGTCACATAACTGGCACTGTCCTCCGCGCTGGGCTGCGTTGAGCCGCTGCTTGTCTCGCTCAGGCTTGAAGACGCTGAGCTGAAGGGGGGCAGCGAGCGGTTCGAGGGGGACGGGGAGGGGGGCAACTCCAACCCCAGGGAGTCCAAGGGAGTCCTGGCCAGCGAGGAATGGTGATGTGCCCCCCCACCCATCCGACGGCGGGGGTTGTATCGTGGGGGTTCCCGGAACGGGACTGTAAACACCAATGACAAAGTCAAGCCCCAGCAGAAGAAGGTGCCCCAGGAGGAAAAAAGAAATAAAAGGATCACTAAACATCACTTAGGGAAATCATCTACTAAAATGAACGCATATTCTCCACCAAATTCAAGAGCAATGTCATGATACATAGCTTTAAATATTTGCCTACATCAACACTACTCTCTGAACTGACAGATCATGCTCCATCACTTAGTTAGCTGCTCTCCCATATAAAACAATTTTTAAAAAAATTGAATTTACTAGCATAAATAAAGAAACAAAAAAGGTTTTGAATGAAAACACCCAGTGAACTCAACAAAAGGAAAATGAAAATCTTTTAAAAAGGAAATGTTTACAAGAATAAGGAAAAGAAGCAAACTGAATTCTTTCCTTCATTCATATCACTCAGAAATTATGAATCACTATACAATGATGTCAAATTTGTCATTGCAGTGTTAAGGTAGTGTTTTGAAGTAAAATAACATTTCATTTCAAAATTTTAAGAAAGTAATTTTCAAAATAGGTAGAAAATGTATGTACATTTTTAAAATTGTGTTGCTAAATTTTGAAATTTAATTTCTGAGATATTTAAACTGAATAAAAGGAAGATCCAATGTTAATGAGGATTTTCTGGGGCACCTCTTCATGTCAAGGATTAAAAGAAAATACCACTACTGAAAAAACAAACAAAAAACAGCAGAAATCATCATTGACACAACATATTTGATCTAATAAGATAGCCAAGAAAGAATATAAGCTACAAAGAGGAAAAGCGGAAAGGTTATTGGAAGAAAAGTATTATCAAATACAGTCGCTTTCCACGGTACCATCTTAAATGGCAGCAGAAAGATAGGTTATGAATGTCATAGATCATTAGGAAATCCATGTAAGGTCAACTGGGATAAGGATTTAACAATAAATTCTTCACATTCCTCAAATTATACCCCTACTGCATCAGATAAAATAAATGCACAATGTTGATACAACGTATGTTTCATTTGATAATCAAAATATTTATTTAATAAATATTATCAATTCTTGATGTAACAAATTTATCTCTAATTGTCTGCAATATGACATATGTTTTGTAATGAACCATTTAAACCATTTATTGGAAAATAATAATAAAGTGAACTTCAGTGTTTTTTTGGATCACAAATTTTGCATTAAATAACTGAAAGAGAGTCCATGTCCACAATGACTAACTGAAAGGAAAGGAAAGACATACAAAGGAAATATTTTTCACAGAACAAAGTTTCTGTCACATACACAACACAGTCCATGTGCACAAATAATAATTTGACATAATGTATTAATACTGTACTCCTACTCTCATAACAACCATCACCACCTAGACCAACCCAAGACATCCCACACAAACCACAGCAGGCAAAAGAACTGGGGAACTAAGCAATGCACAAGTAACACAACATACCTAAAACCAGAACACAACAATTAATTCATCTACTTTTTAAAAAAAATGTAATAATGACAACAGATGTGTTATACACTTATCAATAAAACATTAAGGCTTTAATCTCTTTCATTAGGTTCACACCCAACATTCCACTACCCAACATGCTAATTGAGGCAAATGAACAGGCTGAACAAGCAAAATATGATTACAAGTTCACTTACCAACATTTTCAGGACGATGTTGCTGAATTACATCAGCCAGCTCCAGATTACCAGCTATGACAGCAACTTGGTATGGAGTCTGATTGGCATAATTGAGAGCATCCTTATCACAACCTCGAAAGAGGAGGAGACGAGCACAAGATTCTTGACTATTGACGGCACAGACATGAAGTGGAGTATTACCAGATGCATTACGTGCATTCATATCAGCACCGTAGAACAACAGATGCTCTAAATGTTGAACTAGTCCATTTCGACAGGCCTATTAAACAGCATTATATTATGTTGTACATATATCTTTTTTCTATAGCCATAATCATGTTTGGAAAAACATTGTTTATATATTGTTTATAAATAAATATTGTTTGGAAAAACATTTGCTTTTTAGCATGGTTTAATCAAAAGACAAAAAATGATGATAATACTATTGTATGACACACAGTTTGTATTAAGAACCTTGTATTTTTAGAGATCCAAATGAAAAGGGAAAAGAAAATTGAGTATATATAAGAACTTGAGTTCTTGTGGAAACTAAATAACTGATATTTATTAAAAAAATAAATAAATAAATAAATAAAATAATCATGCTGATACCTGGTGAACTTCCTGCCAGCCCTGAAGGTCCTGGGCTCCTATGACTGCTCTGTCATGAAGCAATGCTTCGCAGAGCAGAGGATCAGTTCTGCAAGTGACTGCCAAGTAGAGAGGGGTCAACCCTTTCCCATCTTTGTAATTTGGTGATGCGCCCAGTTCTAAAAGTGTTGTTACTGCCTCCAAGCTGTTTCTTTCAACTGCTCTATGCATTGCTGTGGAACCATCTTTGGTGCGATAGTCCAATAAAGCCCCGCCATTCACAAGGGCAATCAATACCTTACTTGGCTTTTTTATTCCAGTTGCTAGAGTAAGTGGAGTTTCTGAAAAATAAAACATATTTCCCAAGTAAAATTTTGTAAACCTTGGAATTTAGTTATTGTAAGTAACAAAAGTAGTTATTTCAACACTCAGTTTTACTCACCACCAGTTTCTTGATCATGAAAATTAGGATCTAAACCCTTTGAGCACATTTTTGTTATCTTTTCCACCTGTCCATTGGAAACATAGTCAAGAAGTCGTCGCAAATTTGCTCTTGTATGAAGTGCTTTCAACTGTTTCTCATCCATATTAAGCATTTTGTAGACTCTGCGCTTGTATTTAAGCTGTAATTCCATAACAACATTCAAAATGCTACGAAATATTTCAATGTATACACAGAAATTAAATATCATGCAATTTTCTCTAAAAATGAACTTTAAGTACAGAAGAAAAGAATCCCAATGCCTCTAGAATGTTAGAGCATTAGTTTAAAAATTGAAATGAGGATAGTTTTTAAATAATTGTATTATAATTATACAAAATTACAAACAAATGAACAGTAATAATGAGTAACTTTCTTTTTCAAATGAGTTTCAAGAATTTACAATAATTCCAGTTTGTATAAATTTTAACTACTTGTAACAAAATCAATTTAATAATTCTTGTAATTTACTCATCTTTAATCATGAAATTTTAATATCTAATAAATTTTTGGAGAAAACATAAATTTGATAAAAATGTCTCCTTTCACCTTTATGATATCTTCCATTGAAAATTTCCTGACTTGTGTAATAGTGGATTTCTCTAGTCTAATGAAATTTATCAACTTTCAATGGAATTTCTTATCTACTGATGAATAGTTCACATTTCTCGCTTCAATAAGTGAAATATTTCAATAAAGTTTGTTTTTACTACCTTAATTTGCATTTTTCTATTAAATAATACAAGATCCAAGAACAATAATGAATTGAACCATGAATACATGAACTAAAACATGGTGTGAATACATTTGTCAATTGCACTAAATTGAACCACAAAGTTACCTCAAGATATCCCACAGGGCCACTAAAGGGGTAGTCACCCAAGCGACGTTCTTCATCCAAGAACTTTCCTGCTTTTCCATTAACAGGGGGACAGAACAGTCCATAGTTAAAACTCTCCTTCAATTCCTGAAAATAATTAGTTTTCAAGTTATGTTCTATTCAAGTCAGAAATAAATATCACTTAATAAGACTTTTTTTTTTTTTCTTTTCTTTTAAGCTTTTCTCTAATTATTAATGTTTGTCACAAAAATTACTTTACTATTGAGGAATTAATTTTATTATTTTTATTAATAAAAACTTTTAAATAAGTATTCAGGAAATTTGAAATATAATATAAATTTTATTAATAAATTGAATTTGTAAATTAAGATATTTCTCTAGAAATTATTATAATTTTATAAGTGTATTTAAGACAAAGATTCTTTTATCACAGTTGTATTTACTCTATAATATATTTTCAAAAGAAACCACTGAAACAAGGATAACAAGAGTAAATTAGATCATGAAGAAGAGATTCAGACCAATTGCATCAGGATACGTTCATTGAAAACAGTATTATTTCCAGTAACATCCATGCTTATCACAAAGTAGATGTATCATGCAATGAAAAGAATATATAGATATTGAATAATTCAGAAACTAATAACAATTCTAAATAAAACATCAAATACAAGAAATAACTAAGGGTCAAAATTCTGATGTTTCATGCTGTGAGTGACAATTCTATTTTACAAATATCCCAGTAAATGTGATTTCATCAACAGTCAACCAAATATTGATTTTAAATTTAACTTTTTAAAGAATCTGAACAATTTTAATATTGAAGTAGAAGTTTGCATTTGAATTTATATTTCACTTAACAGGCAGATATTTATATTTCACTTAACAGGAAGAAAGTATGAATAATTTAATTTTTATTATTTTTGATACTATTCAATTGCAAATTCAAAACCTACTGAAAACAGCAATAAACACAATAGATATGTTCCAAAAATGTAGAAAGGAGAGAATTGAACATTTTCTGTGTGAAAAGTTACACAGTTCAATTGATTAGATGTATTTTTCCCCAGGCATAATTCTTTTAGAGGAATATTGAAATAAATGTATATGTGCATAAATATGGACCTTTTGGAATCAACATGATACCACAAAATGGTTTTAGAAAGTATATCATGGTTGAACAAAGTTGATATAGAAAACTATGAAAATTATGTAACATGTTTTATGTATGTATTAACATAAGCTTTTTAAAAAGGATATATAGCTTAAGACACGAGGAAATAATGAAGGCAATTCACTTTATTTAAAATAAAATGAAAAATGTTCATATACTATTTGTACCTAACTATGCAATACTTCCTAGATAATAAGCTTTATTGATTCTTAAATACAATAAAATTTTTGTTCACATTTCATTTAATATAGATAAAAAGAGGTTGACGAGACATAAAAAATTCAGTTAAATACCAGCAACTTAAGGGAATTTAATTTTAAGAGATTGAAGTAAGAACTAGAACAGTCATGCATTAGGAGAGAAGTGACAGTAATAAATCAATGTTTGATCTACAAGTTGAATAAAATGCCATCCTTTACAACCGAGGGTCCTGAATATTTTCATACGAAAAGTTCGTGCAGCAGTGTCATTATTTCATTTTAAAGACTAATGACAATTGAATCTGGCCCGTGAAAAACACATCGCGAAAATATTCATCAGCCTACCAAACAAAAAGGAACACTAACACAATTTATTTTCTCGCTTTGTAGAACCATTCAGATCATCTTCACTTCTAACACACTAAGCTCGGAGTAACACTTCCACACACCTACAAATCGCGTGTTTGGAGCCGCCACTTCATCACATTAAATCTCCGCTCCCTCATCTCACCCCACGCGACCGACGAGGCGTGCGGGACGTCAGCGCAACTGAAAACAACCGCGACTGCTCCTCGAAAGGAAGCGAACCTTCGTTTTTTTCTCTCTCTCTTCTTCCATCTCCTTCTACCTCCACCTCTCGCGCGCCGATCGGCAGGCACTCAAGGTCCGGCGGCGGCTGCGTGCGCACAGGAGGCCGGGCCGGGCCGCGCCGACTGCATGCTTCTCATGCAGATGAAAAGAAGGTATCTAGGTGAATTATATATGTCTTGCTACAACAATTCCACTGCGCGAGGCTAAACTGGAATTGGACCGGTGGGATAACATTGTACAGACAGTTGTTTTTCTATGAATAACACTTACGTGTATAAGCAACAGAAGAATCATCTCATCAACTACAAGAAATAACTCAGTAGCCAAATGAAAAGGGGGTCCAGACGTTTGGGCAGAATTCTGCTCCTAGAATTGATTTCTGCTGCCTGAATGACAATTCTATTTACTAAATATCCCGAGGCTCATAAATGTGGACTTCTACGATGTCCAACCGGGAATCAGGTGTTTTTAATAGTCTCTCTGTACCACTATATATAAAGGTAACAGGTTTGATGCGTTTAAATTTAAACTTTATAGAAAGTTGAGAGAGGTGTTTATATTGAGAATGTAGGAGAGTCATTGCTCATTTGTAAATTGGTATGATCACGTAAGTACTGAGCACAAGGTGTAAAGGCGTACGGGAAACTTCGTTTCGCGAGACAATGATTTATGGATCCGGGTTTCGGGATGCTTACACCAGGAAGAAATCGACATTCGCGAAGAGAAATTTAAATATTTTTATTATTTTTGATCAACTCTGATATTCTTTCAACCTTTTTATCATTTGCTTAAAAAATTCAAACTCTCCTGAATCCAAAAACCAACACAATTACAATCATCAATAAGAATTATATGTTCTGTAGAAAGTATGGGTTAGAGTTTAATTGTCAAATTCGATAGTCATTGGTATTGCTGTGTGCAGAAAAGGTATGAGACGACAGTGGGAATCAGCTCCTTCAATCTTCGCATTAGATGTAGGAATATAAATAATCGTGTGCACACGAACAGGCATAATTCTTTTTTAGACGGACGTGTATGAAATATGTATAAAGGTGGTATAAATGGGATCACTTAAACTTTATTGGAACCCTTTTTAGCGGGAGACCATGGAACGATTGGATCGGCGTCCTACGAAAATGGTTGTGACCGCAATAGCTATATCTGGTCCATAAATACAGGACTAATGAAACATAAATACATAAATATAATAGTTAGATATATATAGTAAAAATACAATTATGAAAATTATAGTTAACAAATATATATGATTTATATATAATATAATATAGTTGATATTTTGGTTTACTCGATTAATCTCATTTATTATGCTTGTTTGATATGTAAGTGATTTTATGCTATGTAAGAGAACATCAGGAAGGTACAATAGCGGTGTGTTACGAAAGGCAATTCACGATTTTAAAATTATTTATATAGTAGAAAACTCAGATATAAAATGTGTCACATAGAACAGATTTTGTATGTCAATTTGTTAACATTACACTTAATTAGTCAATACTTCCTGAGAAATAAATAAGCTTTTATGGAATTCTATAAAGTTAACAAGCATTACTAAATTTTTTGTGATCATCATAGAAAAAAGTACATATACATAATAAGTCATTTTATAAATAATACGATGCGTGACGCTAGCTACTTATGACAACAATCCTCCAGTTAAGGTAGCCAACGAGGCATTACCTGGAACTATTACATTTGTTAATGAGACGTGGTTATAAGTCACTCAGATGAACTTTATGATGAAACGGTTCTATTACGAATAGGCTATAGGAAGAAAGGCACTAGTGACAAAGTACCTATATAGAAGAACAAATTTTCGAATGTAGTACTAAATCAGATGGGTCTAGTATACGATGAATTCACATTGCCCATCCTCCTGACTAATCGCGACTCGGTATACGTAATCAAATCAATATGTTCCTCTACATGACCGAACTAGAAGCTATAGTCGAATTGCAGCAGTCGCTAAAGATTATTCTCTCGAGTCTTTATAAAGACTAATGACCAATTGAATCTGGACCGAGATATTTGATTTACAGGAGGCAGCTCAGTGTGCGAAAATATTTATCCCAGGATTCTCTCGCCAACACAAGAGAAGGTATAACAAAGTATACTATCCTCACTCTTATTTCTCGCTTCATGTAGAAGGCCATTTCGGGTCAAACTTCCATCTCTTTTCACGTGAACACACACTCTAAGCTCCGGAGGTTAACCACTCTCCACCGGTACACTCCACTATATACTGTGGGTCGTTCTGGCACCCAGACCGCCACTGTGGTCACACATTAAAAAATCCTCCCGCCTCGCCGATCCCATTTTCCGCTGACAAACTCTACCCTAGCAAACGTTCCAGCAAATCAAATGTTTGAACGTGAGCCACCGAACGGCAGGTTGCGTAATGGAGACGTTCAGCTACAAATCTTTGAGGCGAACACAATTGCGCTGATCAGAAAAGGGATCCCTCTGGCGATTAATAAGAGATATAATGTACGAACGCTTGTACGAGCTAGGTTTTCGGTCACATACATTATCTTATTTGAAACTCCTCCTGGGGGTAATTCTCTCCATTTATCCAAAGGTTTAATGAATGTAGGATATACACCATATCATAATCCGAGACCCCTCGCGCGTCTCACCGCATACGGACAGCACTCAAGGTCCGGGGCACGGCTGCGGTTGTACGACAGGCAGAAGTCAAGGCCGTGGAGCCCGTGCCGCTGCCCGCTCGCTTCGTAAAAAAACAGCGTGGCGAGCACTCTGATCCGAGCACGGGTCGCGGGCGGGGAAGGTCCGCACGCGATACGTCGTCACGCGCGACCAGAAACTCACCGGGTCATGCACGCGATGCTGCGCTGTTCGTGCCCGGGGGTAATTAACGGTAGACACCACGCTAATGACGAACGCTAGACGGTGACCGGGGTGCGGCACCGGCGGTACAGAGATGTACAATAGGCATCGGGCGGGCCGCGAGTTCTCTTTTTAAGCGGACGGGATGCCGGTATTGAGGTCGCAGGGACAAATACGAACGTGGGATGATGGAGCTAAGTCGGATAGAAATGGGGGTACAGCGTGTTTGTCGGGGCTCGGCGGGGTCCATGAGGGTGATGTCGGGAGGATGTTAAAGATGGAGAAAATACCACGAGCCTGAGCAAGACAGTGAAGTGCGTCTTCATCGGGTATGCCGGGAACGAGTATACGACATGGGAGACTAGACAGGACAGAGTGGACAGACAGCGGGCGGGGAACCAGGGCCCGGGGGACTTGATGGTGACGATTGAGCGGGGGGAGCGGAAGGGGAGGGGAGCGTGTCCCGGGCGTAGCACGCTCGTGGTCAATTGTTGCCGTCTGACGGGCGGACACGCAGCTACGTTTACGAGGGTCACTCGGATACGGGGGCGTTTTATTACTATGAAAGTTTACTCTATCACTGTATTCGTATCACTCAGACATGTACACTCTCTTAGATACTGGTATACTAACTAGAAGTGGGCGATTTTTATTACACATATTGTTAGAGGTAGAGTGTCATAGTTCATAACAGATCCTGACGCAAGAAGTGTCAGTTATTATCCAGACAGAGGAGCGCCATATG